GAGGTCAGAAAATATACTTTGGTTGTAGGCGGTGCGAGATTGAGCACCTTTTTAGAAATATGGTATTTCAGGAAAATGAACAAAAGAAATTTTCTTAAACCTGAAAGGGGTTGTTTTTTTCTCATATTATGGAGTGTCTTGTGATATAGCCTAAGTTGGTTTGTTTAGGCATTCTTAATAAGGAAATGAATTAGAAACACATTAAAAGAGGATTGGACTAAGTAGAACATTAGCTTAAAACATGTGTTTCAATCTGTGCTTTGTTATGTGTATTGTGTAAGTAGACGCCCGAGGCTTAATATTGATACAACCCACTGTGAGTAATTCTTTATAAAGCTATGTTCAAAAAGTATTTTGAATTGGTTAAGAATGATAATTTGAATCTTATTTTGTTATATATCAATGAATGTCCTTTTTGAAATTGTAATTGCAACATCCTTTAAGGAGGCCGTCGCTTGGGAGAAACAATACCATGGCCCATTGAATTAATTGAAACACAAAGATCTCTAATATTAGACCTTAATGGTCCACATTGAATTATAGATTATTGATTGACCCATTGTGATCCCATTGGATTGGTCGTTGTGATCTTATTGGCTTCGACACATTGTTTCATTGTTGCTTTATTGGAAGCACCAGATATAATAATTCGAATGATTAATGTTATCGCAAAGGATTGATATGATTGTTAATCAAATTGTTTGCTTGTTGAAATGGATTGTTTCGGAAAATGAAAGATATGTTTTGTATCATGTTGGACTTCATTCAATTAAACCCTTTATATTGATGTTACTCACTGAGCTCCAGCTCACCCCTCTCCATTATATATATGTAGGCGAACAAGTGGAACGTCAAGTCCAAAGTAGCCTCAGAGTCTGTCCTTGTAAAGCCATTTTTAAAGTACCTCCGTGATGGGGGCGTGCTCAAACTCGAGAGGAGTCAAGCTTTGTCAACCTTTCCTGTAGTGTTATTTACTTTCTTTTTTATTATTATTTTGAAACATATTGAGGATGAATGTTATATAAGAAGTCTATCTTTGGTGTAAATTAGACTCACCTCCCTTTAAGTTTCTAACAAATACAGGGACCTCCTCTGTAATTTGAATAATTACATAAACATCTCCTACTTTAACTGACATTGTCAAGATTCCCCCATATTTGAACCTCTGTTACCTATGGTAGCGATCTATTGATGTCATCACCAACAAATCCAAAAAAACCAATAATGCCCTCAAGACTATTGAACAATTATTTACATATTTTTTAGGGTAAATCACACTCACCTCCCCTGAGGTTTCTGAGGGTAAATATTACACATTTTTTCTTACTTATGCTATACAATAATAAAATTTTAGAATGATATAATAATTGTAACATTAGTAAATAAGAAAAATTTATAAATTTTAGGTTAAATTATACTAACTATTCTTGAGATTTGGCGAATACAATAAGCTTCACAAACTTGGTACGATTACATTATATTGCCATAATATTTTAATTCATATAACACGTAGTTTTTTTCCTAGTAATTCGTTAGTCATATATAGAGGGGAAAAAATGTGTTGTTATTTATTTTAGTGTTTTCACACTATATGCATTACTTTTTATCAATTTAATCTTACTAAATAAGAGATTTATGTAATTATATCAAATTTATAAAAATTTATATTTTTTTCCCCTAACAACAGGAGATTTATGTAATTATATCAAATTTATAAAATTTATATTTTTTCCCCCTAATTCTTAGAAGTAATCAATGTAATTTATCTTAAATTTTATTATTATTTATTTATTTTATAGTATTACTCTAATCAAAATTTCAGTTTATAATGAGGTGAACACTTGAAGCATAAACAATTAATTAGCCACAAAATAACAAAGAAATATGTTTGGTTCTCTTTTGCAATCACAATTCCAATTAAAAATTTGCAAAAATCTTTTCAAAACTCATAACTAAATACACAACTCAAAACTACTCAAAACTCAATTCAAAAATTATTTTCAAAACTCAACCAAAACACACAACTCAAAACTCTTTTTCAAAACGCAAAACCAAACTCTTTTCAAAACTCTATTTTAAAATTAAAAAAAAATTAAAAAAAAATTGGTATGAGATATTGATTATAGGGTTTCTCACTTAAAATCTCATTTTGCTTATATAAATGGGAGCATAAGATTCACTTTATGTAAGTGAAACAATTCACTTTTTTCTTCTTTTTCCGATGTGGGATTGTAAAATAAAAGTTAAATGGAAGCTAGCCAATGGAGATTTTCTTAATTGTTTAAAATTAAGAAAATTTAAAAATTCATATAAATGAGAGCATAATATTTACTCGATTTAAGTGAAACAATTCACTTTTTTCTTTCTTTTTTTTCTCGATGTGGAATTGTAAAATAAAAGGTAAACGAAAGCTAGCCAATGAAAATTTTCTTAATTGTTTAAAATTAAGAAAATTCAATAAAGGTTTAAAGCTTGTAGAAGGCTTCTCCTTCAAAATTTCCTTTATAAGATTCATTTCATATAAGTGAAACAACTTACTTTTTCTTTATTTTCCCGATATATTTAAAATAAAAAATAAAATTTTTTAAATAATTTAAAAAAATAAATCCACAAAAGCAAGGGTAATAAGGGTAATAAATCCTAAAAAATAATTTATAATTTAATTATGTATGATGTAAACAAATGGGAGGTCCCTGACGAAATATATGCAAGGGTAATAAGGTCATTTAATATATACAAATAATATCGTTTGTTGCAATTTGACGGAAGTGGAGAATCTTGACAATATCAGTTAAAGTAAGGGAGATTTGTGTAATTATTCAAACTACATCGGAGGTCCCTATATTTGTCAAAAATCTCAGGGGAGGTGAGTGTAATTTACCCAAGTTTTAATTATTTATGAATTTAGCATGTATGCACTGCTCAATAGATTTAGTTATATTTCATTATTACTTCCGTTAAGCCCCATTTTATATTATGATGGATTTTGTCATTGAGGCCGAAGGTAATCCGGAATTATTACCCGGTCATGACTCCAAACCTCTAAGGATTGGATCGTGACAAAAAATGTTTAAGTGAGTCTCATATTAGTGTAAATAATCATTATGTTAGAATGTTAAGAGTTTGATTTTAAAGTCTTACATATAGTCTGTTAAGTTAGTCATTTGGAATATGAGTGAAACACAAGAATTATATATTTTTCTTCTTAAAATCTCTTCCTAAAGTGTGTGTGTGACTGTTGTGTAGCGAATTCTATTTTCTAACAATCTGCACCCTTGATTTCTGTTGCAGACATGGTGGCAATGCTATAAACACAGTTCTACCTTAATTCTCGTGGATCTCATATAAGAGTGGAGATTTGTTTGTGGCATTCAGGGGTTGCTGTGGTCAATCCTTGTTACCTCAACTTTTTTGGGTTCTTATGGCCTGCTGAATGCAACCCACATGTCAAACTGGTAACTGGATTTTCGAAATTAGCATAATATTGTAAACATATTTCAGTGAACTCTATGATCATAATATTGTAAAAACAAAAAACAAAACAAAAGAAAAAAAGGTGGACTGATTTGAAGAGGGAACTAATTTAAAAGAGGTCGTTGATGATTCCTGAAAGTATGCATGAATTATTTCAGTGAACTCTATGATCATGCTTAATTCACAAATAAGATTAGGCGGGATAATTTTATCAAGGAGTAGGTTAACTCAAAAGGATATTTTAATTATATTATAATGAACTATCCCATCACTTCTAAGATAAAATAATCCGAAATTTATACAAATTAAAAAGACTTTTAAAATAAATAATCTTACATCACAAAATCTAAATCAATATGAGATAATTTTACCTTACAATTTACCTATCCTCCTCTTTATTGACTAATCAAACATGACGTATGCTCCATGTACAAGCATTTATCAAGAGGTGTTTAGATATATATGTGTGTGTTTTTATGTTTGGTTGTCATATTAAATGAACTTTGGATTAAACCCCACCAAGCATATGGGAAACTTCTATGTATGCTTCCCATGTGGGTAGCATGAACCTCCTGTTAAGATTCTGCTGAGGCAAGGATTCATGAAAACAGTTAGTTATATATATATAATGAATGCATTGCAAGGAGGGAGGATGTTCAGGTTCATAACTTGTGCCTGAATTTTGCAGGCCCATGAGAAAAGGATGTCTAGAATTGTTCAACACCTGAGATTTTTTGCTTCCACCCATTCTCACATAACTATTTATTTTATTTTTTTTACATTGTTTTTTTACCTTGTGAAAGGGAAGTTCCAAAAGTTATAGGAAAATAAAATAAATTATAGTAAATTCGTTTAAATCGTAGCTCATTCGCACGCTACTTCTTTGAGCTTCAAAATTCAATAGTTAATTATCTCAAAGTATTATCTTATTACACTTAACACTTTCCGTTAAGATTTAAATAAAATCAAATCATGTGTGAACCACATTATACACATTGAATTGTTAGAACAATAATACATTTATTTGGTAATTGCATTTGCACTTTGTTTTCCTTATCTTAGTGATAAAATGCAAACAAAATCACCAAATGAGGAATTATTATCCTGAAAATTCAATAAGTAAACATATGATCTAATTTATGTAAATCTCTAAAAGAATCATGATGGATGGAGTTAATTAAAACGAGATAATATTTTGAAGTGATTAATTGTTAATTTTGAAGTCCAAGAGGATAAAGTGCAAATAGGTCATAATTAAAGAAGAATTTACAATAATTTACCCTATAAAATAAAGCATTTGGTGTAAATTTAAATTTAGTATATATATGATTGGTCACAAACAAAATGAACTGATCAACAAACTTCAATTTCTTGCCAATTTTCAGTAATTGATCATGACCATTATTTAGCATTTTTTTATTTAATTTTTTATTTTTATTTTTTGGGGGGGACCTATGCAGCTTTGTTTTTTGCACATAGTAACCAGCCTTTCACCAAACAAACTACAGATCATCACAGAGAGAGAATGTAGAAAAGGTGATGGACTCACTTTATTTGTTTCACATTTTGGAATGGTAAACAACAAAAAGATGGTGGCCCAACATGGGAAATGACTTCCAAAGGCTTTATGGTTGATTTTTTTTACTGTTACCCAAACAGAAATTACAACAACTGTTGTTTTCTCTTTTGCATCTAAATGGGTTCTGATTTTTCTTGGAAAACAATCCCATATAGAGAGAGATTCTCTCTGCTGATTCTGGAAAGGCATTAGAGCTTTTCTTGGCTTCTAACTTTATGTGGCCCCTACTCCAAGGAAGTCTATGAATGTTGGTGCAATGGCCTTAAATTGGCTGGCATGTCTGTCCTCTGTCACTGATGATGAAGGTTCAGTGACTGATGCTTGTGGTTTTGGAGAATCTGAATAGAAGCTAGGAGGGTAGTGGTGGTAGAGGGACTGTTGCATTGCAGTCACCAATGGAGCTTGGTGTTGGTGGGGATGATTCAAGTATGAGATGTTTGGCTCATCCCCTGACCTATCCCAAGGCCTGTTGAAAATCACCCTTTTTTGGCTCTTGTGACCTGTACAAACACCAACCATTCACAACAAAAATGAAGTAAACTAGGTAGCATCCTTAAATGGAACATAATATATACATATATGACTATATATTTCTGAGTAGTGACGTACACGAGAAAATTTAAATAAAATGTTTATTCAGAGTAATATGATAGTCTTGGATCTTATCATTTCAAAATAACATAAATTACATAATGGAACAAAGTAATAGTGTCAAACAACAATGCTCTATGTAGAGAGAAAATTTTAGGTACTTCTACATTGCACATGTTGTGTGGGATTTAAAACAGTCTGTGTTAGAAAAATTATGTGGTGGTTTTGGTACAAATTCTTATGGTGTCCTAGACATAATACTTATTGATTAAAATTGTGAAATTTAATACAGATTTTATTAAAATTTTGGAAATTTTGATAATAAGAGATATGGAGTAATGCTCCAAAAATCACCAATAATCACTTGTCTATATGTGATTTATTTATCTATATTTTTTACTTGAAAACAAAGATTCATCATATATATATTAAAAAGAGAAGGAAAAAAAAATCATTGCTAGATAATTTTGGTATTAGATTTTGTGTATAATTGTTTTTTACTAAAGAACTTTTTTCTATGTAACAAAAATATTAGTAAACAAAAATGTGGATAGAGAGAAGTTTTGATTGAATTAAGCACATCTTCAATGGTAAATGCTATAATAGCATTGTCATTGTCAAAGTCAAATTATGGTAATGAATAGTAAAAAATGAATGAAAAATAGCAATTGCTCCAATAGTTCAGCAGTTATTTTTGCCATTTTGCACAGAAATTAGTGTTTTCGGACGATTGTGTGTTTCTTCTGCAAGAATGGCAAGAGGGATAGATGTTTTGGTGGGAGGAGGAAGGAAAGAAGGGAGATGTTTATTGATGATTGAGACAAATAGCTAAATTATGACAATAACAGCTCCAATAACTTTAAAGCCATAAAAAAAAAATGTATTCAGGTAAATGTTAAAAACATCCCAACGAAATATTTTTAAAAAAAATGTGTCCAAACATATAAAAATCAATAAAATATTTATTAAAATTATAATTATTTTGGTATGAAAAACGCTACAACACCCCCCCCCCCCCCAAAAAAAAAAAATTAAACCCCCCCCCCCCCAAAGTTTATCAAATATTTTGCCAAATGTCTTCCAAATGTCTTCCATGGATGAGATACCTACAGCATATGAGAATCTCACACCCATGATATTTGGTAAAAAACATTTGATAAAAATTTTAATATCCCTAACATTAATCTTTTGGTATTATGTGAAGTTTAACCATGGCCTTGCCAGACCCAGACCCAGACCCAAACCCAAATTTTAAAGCAAGATAAAAGGGATTGCATATGAAAAGAGTAAATGAACACAAGATGATCAACTGTAGTTCCATAGCAATGATAGTGAAGAAACAGTAAAAAGATCCAAGTAAATAAAGTAATGTGTTGGGCAACAAAAAAGGAAAGCAATGAGAAGCAGCACAAAAACCAAATGCACAAACTGCAGGCACAAGTAGATCAGGAAGAAGAGAATGAAGGCAATCAAAGAAGACTCACCAGGGAGCAAATCAGGTGTCTGTTGTGCACAAAACCCACTATGATGAATAGGGACATTACTGCTAGAGATTGCTTCACCACCTCCTCCATTGAATTTTGGAAATGGGAAAGGGGATGAATGGTGAAGTCCTCCATTGGAGAGATTGAAACAGTATGGTAGTGGTGGTGGTGGTGGTGGTGGTGGTGTTTCTGTTCTGGTGGCTGTGTAGACAAGACTTGGATCTTCCTCCATTCTTTTGTAAACAGATTGAGCCATCTTTCTCCTCCTGTAAGCACTGGACTGTTCTCTATACTTTCTAGCCATTATAACATGCCAATGGTTCTTCACTGCATTGTCAGTTCTTCCTGGGAAAAGCCTAGCAATCATGGCCCACTTGTTTCCATACAGCCTATGAGCAGCCATTAGTCTCTCTTCTTCCTCTTCACTAAAAGCTTTTCTGTTGATCCTTGGGTCCAACTGGTTGAACCATCTCAGCCTACAACTCTTACCTTCACATTCACCCACCACATCACACAAAAACACCCCAAGTAAGTGTAAAATAAATGAACCAAAAAAAAGGAGAGAGAGAGAGAGAGAGAGAGTTACCTGATCTTCCTTCCAACTTCTCCGCTATAAGGTTCCAATTCTGAGGGCCATATAGAGCTACAAGTTCCTTGAGTTTTGCATCCTCTGCAGGCCTCCAATGTCCTCTGGCACACAACTTTGACTGCCCAAAATCTGTTTCCTTGGCACTCCCACTCCCTGCATATATGTTGGCTTTTTTCTCTTCATTGAAGCTGGCATTTAGATCAATTGCTTCATTGTTCTCTCCAAACCCATCACTGCAATCACAGCCATTCCCTTCACCCATAAAAGGAAAACCCCAAGTACTTTTTTCATTTTCCATCTCAGAGCTCTTACAGAGAAAGCTTTCTTGTGAAGAAGAAGCCACAGATGTTGATGCTGATCCCAAGTTGGGAGGAGTGATGGAAAGAGAACCCATGTCTGCAAGAACCATCCCCATAAAAGCACCAAAAGGAGAAGAAGAAGAAGAAGATGATGATGATGATGATGATGATGATGAAGATGTTGATGATGATGAGACAGTAGTTTTAGTAGAGGTGTAACAGCTCATCCCATTTGTGTTGTTTTTTGGTGCATATAAAACACACTTGTTGGCCATGCCCTCATTTCTGTTCTGACAGATGCTTCTGTAGGAGAACTGTTACAAAGTCATCTTCATCGCTTGATTAGATAAAGAAACGTATGATCGAGTGGAACTAAAAAAAATGAGAAAGGAAGTTTTGACAGATAGTGAAGAAAATTTGAAAGCAGTTCGCAATGGGAAGAAAAAACTAGAAACAGCAAAAACAGCAAAAGTGTTTCTAACAGAAACCACTACTTTTGCTCTCCCTTTCCTCTCACACACACCTCTCTCTCTCTCTCTCTCTCTCACTCCGCCCTTAAGGGAGAGTATTCGAGTAGTTAACCACTCTGACTGACTCACTGACCTTAAAGTTAACTAGGCCTGTTTGGTTTGTTTTTTCAAAAAAAATTTAAAAAAAATTCTTTATAAACCAATTTTTAAGAGAAATTAAATTAAACAAATTTTTTTTAAAAAAAAATTCAAAATTTTATTTAGTTATCTATTTTCTAAAATTATTTTTTTTCTTATACACATTAAATCAATCATTTTTTTTAAACCTCTTTTCTCAAAATAATTTTTCAAAACCATTTCTAAAAAAAGACAAATTAAACAAATTTTTGTACTTTTTATCTCAAAAACTACTCTACAAACACACCCGTAGTTTTTACATATTTTTTTTGTTTTAATCATATCCATTCTTTTTTGTTTGCTCTGTTTTTTTAAAAATTAATTTTTTTATTTTTCATATATTTTTTTTTTTAATAAATTTTTTAAATATTTTATATAAATATTTTATTTTTTAGATATATCTTTTAAGTATAATATTTGTAAAATAAAATTTAAAGATTCACCAAATACAAAAATTTAATATATTATCATAATTTATTATATTTAATGAATTTTAAAAAAAAAATTGCAAATTTTATATATTTTAAGTATACAAGATTAAGTAAATTTAGAAAATAAACACAATTAATTAAAATATTTTAAAAAATAATGAAAAATTAAAAATTAAAAAATTTGTTTTTGAAAATTTTAAACCAAGAGTGATTACTATTTTTCTCTTTTTTTTTAATTAAATCCTTCATCATCACACGTGTGAAGGAGAGAGATGAAGGTTCTTAGGCTGTCTCTCTCTACATTGACAAGAAAGACCCTAATGCGATGTCTGCTGGCTTGGGTTCAGTACAGGTCTAGAAAACTTTCTTTTCAATGGCAGAAAATTTTCCTCTTTATATAACACAGGAAAGTTGGCAACCCTGTCAAACACAAGAAGTAGCAATAAATAACCAAGCTCTCCATCACCATCAATCTTTTAACCATAGACAGGTTAACCTTGGGTTTCGTTTAACCCACCTGAAGTAGACACACGGGTGTCTGATGAAACAAAAATGGATTAATTACACGGATCAGCCCTGAAATTGTTGACAAATACATATACCTCTCTTTTGATTTCTAAAATTACAATGTTCTCCCTTGTCAACGGCCTTATTTGAAAAGTTTGCTATTTTAGTTAATTATTTGACTTTTTAACTATTTTAATTTGACTTAAATAGTTGTTTATAAAAATTTGATTATTTTTTTAATTTATTTGATGGTTGTGAGAGAAAAAAGTAAAATATTATGAGTTGAATATAACATTTTGTCTTATTGATTGTTTTAACATATTTTATCTTTTAGTGAACTATTTTAGTTCAACCCTCTTTTTAAATAAGGCCAAAGTTATCTGCTAGATGGCCTGGGGGTTGTTTAGAAAGTGATATATAAGTGTATTTTTTGACTTTTGGCTAAAAAGATAGAGAAAAAAAATGTATGTTTGAAATAAATTTTTTGACTTTTAACGAAAGATATGTAATAAAATATTATAGTAAAATCGAAATGACTATTCTATTCTTTTTTACTTTAAACTTTTTGATTTTTGAATAATTGAATTCAAAGAATAAAATAATAATTTGCCCTCTAGGCTACTTCCCAAAAAAAAAAAAATCCCCCAAATGGTATAGATTTTTTTGACATTTTTAACAACTTTTTGAATTTTGTAGAATTCAAATGACAAAAACCTTACACTTGTCTTCTAGCAACAATATCACAATCTAACCTAACCTTTCCTACCTTCAAACCCCCTGATGTACAAGTTCGTGAGCAATCACCACCAAAATTTCATCGTCAACCGTCCAACCACACTTCCTTGGCCAATTTCCCTAGCCATCATCAAGCTCTTCGTAATGTCTACCAATGACAACAAATTTAATGATTGTTTGGCATGTGTTAAAATAACACATATTATTTTAGTATATTATCCTATTTAGGGGTTGTTTGGCATGACCTAAATAAGTGTACTTTTTGTCTTTTTACGAAAAAATGTGCAGAAAAGTAGAGCACCTTGTGATGAAAAAAAGATAAAAAGATGAATTATTTATAACTTCCCAAACTTGGCCTTAGATTACAATAATCTTATTTAAATCATATCATCTCTCTATTATATCACTTCAAATTCAACTCATATTTTATATTTTTTTTTGTAAAAAATTAAAAAGTATATTAATTTAAAACTACTCATCAATAAAAACCTCAAATCATGTTAAAATAGGGCTAACCTTGTTGGGACCATTTTGTTTTACTATGTTGTTTGTGCATCGTATTCTTCATTAATGTATATTGCTATACTTTTTTTATCATTAATAAAGTTTTTTTTGTCAATAAATAAATAAATTAAAATCATATTTAAATACATATATATATACACACTTGTATATGTATGTTAAATTTATTTCTTATTATATACACATGCATATAGTGGGTGTTTAGGAAGTTTTTATGTAAATTTTTTTAGTTGCAGGATATTATTGGATAAAAAAATTTTGGTGTTTGGGAAAATAGTTGGGTTTTTTTGTAGTTGAATGTGATGTTTGTGAGAGAAAAAAATGAAATGATTATGGAGTTGGATGTGATATTTTATTTGAATTTATTTTTTTTAGTTTTACATTTTGTGAAATAATTATGGAGTTGGGTTTTTGAGAAAAGGTGAAATGATTATGGAGTTGGGTTTTTGGTTTTTTTTTAGTTTTGCATTTTTGTATTTTGTCTTTTAGTGGAAAAAATCAAAAAAAAAAACCCAAACCCAAAACTTGCCAACTCCCACAACCAAGAAGAAATAGCAACTACAGAGCAATGAGAAATGCAACTGTTGTCAAAGTTTGTTGAGTGACGGTGTTAGTTGTAGATTATTGGAGGTGGCAAATGAAGGGATGTAGCGATAGAACTGAAATGGTTTCCAATAGGAGTGTACGGTGGCAATCTTTTCTATTTTGTTGGTTTGTGGTAGGAAGAGATAACTTGTGTTGTTTTTGGTAATAGTGGTAGCTAATGTTAAGCTATAATGCTTGGGTTTAACATGGTGTGAAGCGGGAAGCGCTACAATTAACGGCTCCAGTGTTGTTTAGTGTAGGTAGGGATAGAAAAGTCTAAAAAATTGAGGTGCTCTGCACTGGAATTGATGATGCTACCTTGATGGGTTTTCAGTGAAAGGTTGATAACGGGAAAAATGATCAATGTTGGGTATGGTGGTAGGAAATGGCCAAGGGGGTAGAGGCAAGAGGTTGAGAGTGATGTTTAGCAACAGCGATAATGGTCAACCGAGAACACTAAAAACCCAATCGATGTTGCTTCCATTGGATTGATGGTGGTAAACCGAGGACATTAAACCAAATCGATGTTACTGCCATTGGAGTTGGATTTGGTTTTGGTAGAGAGTAAAGGGGTTCGGAGGATTGTACTCTGAAATTGATGAAGACCTTGATGGGTTTTTCAATGAAAGATTGATGGTTGGTGAGATGCTAAATGTAGGAATATGGTGGAAGGAAATGGCCAATGTGGTAGCGGCGTGAGGCTGATGGCAGTGTTTAACAATAACGATGGTACTCAACTAAGGACATTAAACCCAATTGATGTTGTTGCCATTAGAGTTAGGTTTGGTTTTAGTAGAGAGTAATGTGGTTAGGAGGATCTAAGTATCTTTGGTCTTGACATTTCTTGTGAAATTGGATGATGTGGCATATGCAATTGAGTAATGTAAAAATTTATGCATTAATATTATTTGGTTAAAAATTTATACAAGTTATTTAAAATTTTGCACAAGGGCAATTTGGACATTTAAAACTTTTAGACCATTGTTGTCTACATTTTCTGTATCCACTCATTTTCTTAGTACCCATCATCTATTTTAGACATACGCACCACATCTACTCACCACCAACTGTCTACTTCCGATTCTAGTTCCGATTCTAGGGTTGGCCTCAATTACTCCTCATCCTCTGCCACGCCTCCTCTTTCCTTCCATCTTCTTCTTCTTCTTCTCTCAACTTCTCTCTCTCTCTCTCTCTCTCTCTCTCTCTCTCTCTCTCTCTCTCTACGACTTGCACCGCAACCCCCGTCACCGCTACAACTCGCATGGTCTCTTCCACCACAGCTAATGTTGTAACTAGCATATCTTCTTTTGTCACCCCTTTTCAATCTTATCAGCCACTATTCATTGCAACCTATCCTCTAGATGCCCTCCACTCGTAACCCAGCTTCTCCACCATTCGATCCAATCTTTGTCTTCCCTTGAGAGAGAGAGAGAGAGGGAGAGAGAGAGAGAGAGAGAGAGAGAGAGAGAGAGATTGATTGATTGATTGATTGGCTTAAGTTTCCAGATTTAAAGGATGCCGTCAATGGAAGAGGGGTGGTGGCGGAAAGTGATTCGGAGGAAAGACGCTGACAGTTGATGGCTTAGCAACGATGGCCAGGAGGAGAAATGTTAGGGTTAGGGTTAGAGTTGGAGTTGAAGAAAATAAGGATATTTTATGAATATTTGACAATTGATGATGTGCATTGAGCAAAAATATATATATATATATATATATAAAGTCAAAATTATGTGTGGTGTGCATTGAGTAAATGTATGCTGAGATAGCTTGTTGTCAATTACCCATGTGTTTAAAGTACAATTTAATAGAGGAGAGATATGTGCATATTGTCAAGTAAAGTAAGGAATTGTAGTATAAATAGAGGAGAGATATGTGCATATTGTCAAGTAAAGTAAGGAATTGTAGTATAATTTCATAAACCTTAAGGGAGGTTTGTGTAATTAATCCAATAAAAATAGAACTAAATTGGAATTAATGGATGACTCTATTTTCATACACCATTTACTCTATATACACACTTAATGAATAAATTTTATAACTACAATTTTACCACTAAAAAAATTACTAATATAGGCATGAGTACATACATCCCATCTCAAATTTAAATTTTCTTAGTACACATCTTTGAAATTAAAA